GTTCCAGGCACCCTGAGAACAACAACAGGACGCAGGAGTGATTTCTTTAAGTCTTCAGTATGATATTGCGAGAGAGAGAGATGAGTTGTCTGAAAGGCAGCTGCCTCAGCCCACTGAGGGCGAGCTAGGGTTAAGACGACTAGGGTTTGATGGGGGTTGTACTATTCCAGAAACCCCAAACATAAACCTCAACTCTTTGGCAGAGTGGCGTAAGGGCCGTTGCCCAGTGATGCAGACAATCTGAGGCTCTAAGTGCTTCTTGCACAGCCGATCAGCTGCTTCTCCCTTCCAGAGCCTTCTAATTCCCCGGGTTCCCCAGGTGGGCTTTCTTCTGGGCTCCTTGCACTATCAGCTTAGGTTTTTATTCTCTCCAGTTTGTAAACTCAGTTACCACTCATCCACCTGCTTTGCTCGTTCCAAAATGTTGCTATTGTCTCCTCTTCCATTTTTTCTTTGTTCTTGTGGGTTTTCACTTTAAAAACAAAAAAGTCTTGACTGTCATTTTAGTGCATTCCAGGGGGAAATATAGGCAAATGTGGCTTAACATGCTATGTTTTCTGTTACTTCTCTTTTCCTCATTCTCTAAATTACAATTATCCTATTTTTAGATCTCTACTTTTGCATACTGGGTATTTGAGTGTTTCAAACATATCATCCGGTCCATGGTAGAATGGGCTAATAAACCATAAAAAGACCTAGACCTGATCTGGACATAACCTAGATATCTGGGACCCCGCACTGCCTACAGGACAGGTGTGCATGCAGTTGCAGTTCTCTATGGAGAGCTGCATGATGTAAAGGAAGAAAACTCTGGAAATGTGTACGGGAATTGTGTAGGGGGTACGTGGGTGTGTATGTGGGCATGTACACATTTTTGCATACGTCCGCATGCTGGTTAGCAAAACAGTGGTCTGACAAAGACCTCTGTTATTTTTCTTCCCCAGGATCTGTCTCTTCTGTTTTTGATGGTACAGCCTATCACAGACACATAGGATGGGCAGCAGTACAATCCTTGGGGTCTTCTCATCCACAGGAGAAGCACAGTCTCTTGAGTGACGAGGCTGTGGGTGTGTGAGTGAAGCCATCAGCGGTACCGAGCAGTAGGAGGGAAGGAAGCTGGCACACTGAGCGAAGCCAAGAGATGGAGGGCATCCTGGTGGCATTTCAGTAGCTTTTGCGATCCTTCTGCCCTTCCTTTTATGCTTTTGCCTTAAGCTTTATGCTTTATGGTTTGTGCCTTTTTTCCTTTTTTTTTTTTTTTTAACTGGATTAAGAACACATGAGATCTGTCCTCTTAAAATTTTAAGGTACAATAGTGTTAATCAGAACTTTTCCATATTGTTTAACTGGGTTTGTGCTTTTCAAAGTTAAAATGTAATACCTAAAATTAAGAGTTGATATTAATATACTAACAAAGCAAAAAGTTTCATATTGAAGGTTTTTGATGCTGCCATAGTTATACGAAATGCCTACAGAATTGTAAAAGTTTAAATATTTGTAAAGATAAAACTTTAGAAGACATTTTAAAATGTTAGCATCACCTATCGGTCTTGATATACAGTATAACTTAAAATAGAACAATAGTACAGAATATCACATCACAGTTCACATTCTGAATGCTGGGGAAGAGGAGGGACAGAGGCAAACCTCAGAGGAAATCAGATGGGGGGTGGCATTTTAAGCCTCTGTTTTAAAGTTTCAAAAGTTTTTTGTTGTTTGTTTTCAGGTGTGCTATTCTATTTTGATTCTTTCAAAAGAAAGCAATGTAATATTTTCCCAATATTCTTAAAAATTTTATTTTCAATAAAATTTCCAGAAACTATTTAGTCTAAGGCAAAGACAAATTTTCTTTTCAGTTATAAGAAATATCAATATGGAAGTAATAGAATATGATACAGGGCAAATCCCTAGAGTGGAATGTCTCAGGAACATAATTCATAGTGTGTCACATGATAACCAGCGTCTTTGCCATTTATAAGGGTTTCTTCTTTAAAAAGTAATCTTTACATTTAGGATCATTTTGTATGTGGATTAATTTATAATACAGTATTATTTCGATCACTGTGGCTATCCCTATTTTTTTTACTATGTACTGCCTATTGAAAAAGTAGAAACTGGGGTTCTTACATTTTTTCTGCATTTTTATTACGGTGCATGTTCTTATCAGATTCAGTGACTTATGTCTTACATTGAGTGCTAAAGGAAACTTCTTATTTCAGAAGAGTAGCTTTATCCTTCCTTGAGGATTCTCTGCCCCAACAGAGGAAGGCTCTGTTACTGGGATGACACGCTGGCTTTCATCGGACTCTAGAGACACGGGTCTGACGACACTCAGAGGAGGAAAGGAAAACTGGTGAGTCCTTGAGGAAGTAAATAGATTACTAGATGGAAATTTATACTCATTGGAAACTGAGGCCATGAAGAACCAAATCTGTGAATTATGCAATTAATGTCCACGTTACAATCTCATCCTGAATATAAATGAAATCTCCTGAAATTCGAAGGACTATATTATTAGGATGGGAGCACCTTGTTCCTATGTAGCCTCTACTCCAGCAGCTACTCTTCTTGATAAGTCACAGGCTCAATCTTCCTTCTTGGTCTGCTGTGGGCTCTGACTACCTTTGTCTGGAGTTAGTCTCTAGATAGTCTGTGATAACCACCTCTAGGACTAAGTCTTTCTAGAAAGAGGTGCTGGCAGAAATGCTAACTTTAAAATAAAATCTTAATCCAGGCTGTACTATATTATCTGAAACCACTTTCAAAAAATAAGAGACTTTGTGACTGACAATTGCAGCTGGCCACTTACTAGGAAACCTGGGGCTTAATACTGCCACATAAAGCCTAAAGGTTAGTCCTACAGAGGCGACTATGATTATCATTGTTTCTGAGTCTCTTCTTTCAGGCTTCTCAAGCAATACAATACTGTCCAGAAAGAGATACTCCCTCTAAGAGCCTCTAGCAGCTACATTTAGTTGTGATCACTGAATATCTGGTGCCCTTGGTCACTAGGTACTTAGGGCCCCTCAGGGACTCAGGTGACTCAAGTGACAAAACTAATAAATGAAGATGACACAAGTTAAGTGAAACTCTAACAGGTGGCATTGCTAAAACTAACATACGACTTACAAGGGTGCGTCTTTCAATGATCCACCTCGTCTTCCTGGTTTTGAAATGGAAACACGCCTGAGTTGATATTTAGATCCTGGGTCTGGGTCTGAATGCTATGAGTGTTTAACATCAAAACTAAGGACGAAGGCCAGCAAGGTTCGCTGTAATATCTAGGTAGACGGGAGAGGTTTAATTGTTCTGTATTCTTCCAGAAGCTTTCTGTTCCTCCTTGAGAGGGTCTTCTTCATAAATTATTCTGTTTCTTTCACACTTATTCTCTCATTATAGTTTACTTCTTAAATAATGAAAACAGTATCTTAAATTCTCACATAAACCCCACAAGGAAGACACTATTACTGTTCCAATTCTCTAGATAAAAATAGGAGGATACAAATCTTGTTCAGGGTCAGGCAAGAGCCAGGAATCGAATGCAGACAATCTGGGTCATAAGTCTATGCTCTAGTACACCACTCAGCTCTGCCCGAAGCAGCAGCGAGGCCATTTCCCTGCTTCAGCGTTTCAACGAGGCTGTGGGCACGTACTCACCTGGTCCGGGTTTTGAGTCTCCATGTTCACTCTGACTTACTAAGTCCCTAAATCCTCTATTCCAGGGTAGCCCTACAGTTTACTACTTAGCTTTCTTGTAAGGCTATTTTCCAAACTGGCATGATCATAAGAATCACCTGGAATACTTGTTAAAACTAGCTTCTCAGTATCTCAGGATCCGTTGGGTCTGATGTGGTTCCAAGTAGTTGTATTTTTAATAAGTTACCCAGGTGATTCTTCTCATCAATCGAGTTTGGGAAACACGGCTCTATGAGCTTCAGCCAATGGGAACAAATGTAGGTGATTTTAAGAATGATACAGTCCTCACTGAACATCGTGGATTGTTTCTTGGAACTGTGGTGAAACAACGTATAATGAAGCCAATTTGACCATGGGCTAATCTATTTAAACAAGAGTTCAGTTCCTGCAGCATCTCATCAATGTTATAATAAAACGATGTTGAATGAAACGCTACTCTTAGAGGACCAGCTGTATATTATACATTAAGTCAAAGTCTTATTGGGCAGATGACATTTCTGTAGCTGAATTAATCCGAAGCAATCAGTAGATATGGCATGAAGTGGTTTTCTTCAGGAAGGACTTGGGGTGTGGGGTTGGAATGTCTTTGTTGTTGTTGTTTTTTTTTCTTTTTGAGTGATGACTGTTAGAAAGAATTCTTTAATGGTTGTGCCCCTGAGGGAGTTTCTGCCTCGCTCTGGTCTTGGAACAGCTTAAACCAAACAGAAAGTAAGCCATTTTATATAGTTCTTTTAAGTCTTGCCTAAGAGAATTCTGGAGAAAAGTAAATTCAATAAATAGGAGAAAGGAGTACACAGTTCTAGTTCCCTGAAGGACCCTAAAGGAAACTCTTGTATAACTAAGAGAGGGACTTAGGCTTTTCAACTCAAATGTTTATGAATCATATATAGGATGATTAAGGTGAATATAAGGGATTAATTCAATTTACACAGCTTAATCAGCACACAAATCTGCCCTCAGAACCCAAATGCAAAACTGCTGAAATTCATGATCATCAAAATGTTATTTAATGTTAAGAAAAAAAGAAAAAAGAGATCTCAAACATGCCTGATCTACTTTGACACTATGTTCACTGCTTGTCACAAATGCAGTTTCCACCTCAGGCATCACTCAAAAGCAGACTTCTTCAGTTGCTATATTTATGAGTAAGGAAAAAAAAAAGATAAAATGTAGAAAACAACATTAAAAGACAGTCAAAGGAGGAGAAGGCAATCCAGTCCTTTCTGCCCTGTGGAATACTTTGCTTTCAGGCCAGAGGCCTGCCCCCAACTCGGAGCAGAGACTGAGTCACAACCCACACATACCTCTTGGTGGGAGTGGGTACTCCAGAGGACATGTGGCTCACCATGGTGTCATTCATGTTAGTCACAGGGCGAGGAGGACTGAAAGAAAAGACATTTACATTATATTAATGATTACCAACATGACTAGGGGAAATAAATGAAAATGTGATAAGGGCAAAAGCACCAACTATCACTCTTGATAAGCAGAGTGGGACCCACGGGGAGTGGGCTTAGAAATCGATATGTCCAGCCTAAGTAAATTCAACAAGAAGGGTTCTCTCGAGCAAAGACAAGGGACCACAGACCTGTGCTGCGCCAGGAGCAATGAATCATAAACATGCCGCTACCCGATGCACCTTTGGTGCCTTTCGGTTTGTAGTTTTAGTACACAAGAATCAGAGTTCTGCCACTCTGTTAATTTCTCTGCATTTTAGGTGTTTACAGGATTACTAGGTGTTTGGCGTTTATGGTAGATGACAAAAGTCACAGCAGCAACATGCACACTATCCTGAGACTTGGTTAGAGCTTATTTACCTTCCCTCAGATTTAGCTTGTACGCTTTTTACCAAAACAATTAAACTGTTAAATACTAAAATCTTCTATTAATCCTTTACTAGAATCTTAACAATGAACCACATTTCATACCTATATGCTAGTTGAATGCTTTCTTTTAAAACTTAATCCAAATTTCAATTTGAAGGTAAGCGTTTTTGGTAACTTACCTTTAGCTGTTGGTTTTCTGGACTCCAGGTCTATTTCTCCCTCTTGTGAGTCTCTTGAATGAATGAATCCAAACTTATCAAAAAGAATCTATGATTTGGTCTTTCAGCCATTCGTCAATCCCTCTCCCTCCCCACCAGGTTCAGCTACAAAGGGTTTCCGTCTTGCGTTTGAAGCCACATGACGATTGCTAAATATTCCTCCTGAGAAATCTCTTACTTCCTCTCCTAAGAAGTACTTTTCAGAGAAATACCTCCATCGAAATCAGAAAAGTAAAGCAGAAAAATCCTCTCTCATATTTAGGTGTTTGGGGAACGACCTCCGGTTTCTCCTTATGTTTAAGAACTGAGTTAATTATGTAAAATGTTTTTGTGGAGGGTATACTTAACGAGTCTTCGCAAATATTACAGGACAAGAGCCTTTATTATTTTGCAGGTTTCACAGTACATTCAAATAAAGAGTCAAGGGAAATTTTTCAGGTAGAGCCAAGAAACTTAGAGGAAAGGTTGAAAGAAATGGATAGACTGATCTACGTATCTCTATATCTGTCTATCTACCTATATACTTTTTAAAAAATTTATTCATTTTTATTATGGCGACATTGGTTAACAAAAGCCAGTAAGTTCCAAGTATACAATATACTTTTTTAAGAGCCAATTTCATTTTTGGGTAAAGAAATCTTTTTAATGATTTTCCATTTACTGGAGAGAATCAAAGATGGAAAGTAATTTGCAGGGGACAGATTTAAGTCTCTTGACTTGTAAGCCATAGCACTACGCTTGTTACACATCCCTCCTTCTGTGTGACAAGTCCCTAAGTAATATTCAGAATTTGAAGCATGTCTTTCTATGCTAGAATTCAATTTTACATTATTTAGCTTACTACCTATCTTCCAGACAGATATCTAATTTTGCCCAAACTTTCAAGCTTATTAACACTAGCGGCTGTGCTGAGTTATAATCAATTAATGAACTGGTTTAGGTTGATTAACAATGGAAGTGAACACGGAGATTAGCTTAATTTTAGTATTAAATTTACAATTTTGCCACCGGTTCTTTTAAATCAATTGTCCCAATTGAACAAGGAGACAATTCCTATGAAAGAAACAAAGCCAGCCTCATAGCTTTTCATACTTGAGGGCACCAGAATCGTTCTCATCCTGAAAATAGAATGGATTTTGCTTCTTTAATATATTATTAGCAACTCATTTCCAAAATAAGAACACGTTCATGTTGTTTTCAAAAATAATGCTGTTACCTAGTATATTTCAACACTGAAGATACCACTGTATTTAATTTCCTTTCTGATATTCTCAGAGGAAAAACGACAATACAAAAATATTTTTTTACTTCCTTAAACATGGATCCGTGTGATAAAATTTCATGATTTTTAGCATTTTGTTTGATCTGATGCCAGAAAAGTTGTTATTAATAATCATCTTTATCTCTTGGCAAATATGCTCAATTCTTATAACATACATATCAAAGCCTCTTTTCTAATATTCAAAACCAGAAGTAATGATTACATAGTAAGCTGTAAACTAATCGCATCTGCCCCAAATTTCATACCCTTTCTGAACCTCTAACATGTTTTAATAGGGACACAGGTATGTGTTTGCGGTCCAAGATGAAAGAGGCGTTCGCAAACGTAAAGGGGATCTTTACTACAGGATCTACTACTCGACTCCCAACTCATCGTTAAAGCCGATAGCTGACATGCTATCTTAGGAGATGTAATACACCAAAAACGATTTATGGCTTAAAAAAAACAAAAAATCTCCACAGTTCCTGTAAGCATGCTTCCGGGGGTGAAGACTGACAGAAATGTACAAAGCAGAGCTGACGCGACTCATCGGATCGGTTTTGTTGATCCCGTTTAACATTCAGAACCCGCCGCAAACTTGAACATGTATATCTACATTCACGTTCTGTATCCTCCTTTGGTGAAGAACTCAGCAAGGAACCTTTAGGCACTAATGAGTCTTGTGATGCCCACACGGCCACCAACTACCACATGGTCCGGAGATCTGGTGGGGTTCCTTCTTTGTTAGTAAGACATGCCAATTGTTTTGATAAGGAAATCTAAGCAGATGGATGATACAGTTAGGAAGGAACTTGCTACTCAGAAGAGGTAGGTGTAAAAAGAAAGATTGGAGAGAATTTGTTAATTCTGAATCAAAGGAAAAGAGGTATTCTTAGGGGGTGCTTATGTCTAAGAGGTAAGCAAGATTATTTAATCTCGATGACCTAACTATATACTGATGAAGATGGATATGGAGACAAATCACCACAATGCAGAGTAATGCGAGCAGCAATTCAAGTACAAAGTGGTGAGGAGTCACAGAGGGAGAGCAATCGCTCCTGCCTGGAGGAATAAGCGGGGAGAGGAGTCAGGGTGAAGTAACATTACGGAGAGAGTTTTTCAGATAGAGAAAAATGGTTAAGGGCACTCTAGACAGAAGAAACGGCATGGAAAAAGGCAGGGAAATCCAAAAATACATGGCATACTTGGGACTAAATTATTTGGCTAGACTCAAAGGCCCTTCCTTGAAGGGAGTAGCTGAAAAGGCACCTGGAGAGTTAGATTCGGGCCAGGATGTGAATGATGCCTCTTCTATCAAAAGCTAAGAAGTTTGGACTTTATACTATAGTGGGAAAAGCACTCACTGAAAGTTTTTAAGCCAAAGGATGATGTGACTATAGTTGGTTTTTGAAAAGATAACTTTAGGAGCTTTTAGCATGCGGGTTTTAACCAGGGGTGTGCATGGATGGGGATCACCTGGGAAGCTCTCTGTAAGATAAGACATCCAAACTACCCTCAATTTAGTGAATCTGAATCTCTAAGGGCCAGAGGATTCTTTCTAATGTATATTCCCATTTAAAAATCATTTACGCAGAATGGATTTAAGAAGAGGAAGAAATGGAAGCTGAAAGACCAATTATGAGGTTATGACAATTGTCCAGCTCAGTGATGATGAAGGTGGACACTGGTAGTTAAGATGGGGAAGAGAAAAAAGGAAAAATACTATGAGGGTAAAATAGATAAGATGTGGTAACTGATTAAGAACACGGGGTTAGTGAGTAAAGAATAATGGAGATTTTTATCTTGACTACTGGGTGGATAGTGATATCAACATCCAAACTAGGGAACTCAAGAGTAGGAAACAGGTGTTGGA